ATGAAGTTTGCGGTATTGAAGGTAGGCCTGGCCAAACAGGGATACCGCAAGGAGCAGGATATGCTTTTGATTTTCAGATATGGAACTGCGGCTCCGAGTGACCTCAATCAAGACTTTAGTATCTCGTGAATTGCTAACTCTTTTGCCTACTCGCGCGCCGGCTGTTTTTTACCCTGATAAAGGCAGCAATGCCGAAAAGTCCATTTCAGATCTTATATCAGCGTCGGTTTAGTTTTCCTTTTTTGTCTCGTTACTCTAAGAGCATTTTCTCTGAACAAAGGTACATGTCTATAATGGACGTACATACTTGCTTAATCGGCAAAATCATAACACAACGGTGGCGACGTGATGTGTCGAATAAAATTGTGTTACGCTTTCGGGAGAGGTTCTAGACAACAAGCATGGCAAAAGCCGCTTCGCTCTCCTCGCTTTTGGAACCCTGTCGACGAATAGAGAAGCACAAGTGGCTATTCTTACCAACACCAGCATGACTTCTTTTTCTACAAAAACGCTCCACTAACTCACCCATACATCTGCATCCTTGAACGAACAAAACTGTACTAACTATTTAAGAGTTAAGTTCCGATGTAGACTAAAACCGATTAAAATTAAAATTTGCGAAGTCAGTTTATTTTTTAATTATTTTTTGTTTTTGTTTCTTTCCATTTAATTCTGGGCGCGTGTGTATCTTTTCCACCAAAGCCATGAGACAGGTAAAAAAAGGGTAAATATTCAATTTCTAAATTATGTTGTGCGATATTTTATCTCAGCTTTATGAAGCCTCAGATGCTTAGTCTAGGAGATGGAGAACACCTCCGGGGAGAACTATGGTAAAGTAATAATGAGTAAACGCGTTTCTGGTTTTATTCTTTAAAATTTGTGTAGCCAAAGCTAAGCATGTCTGTATTTTGTTAATTCCCACTTGCAGCAGCCTGCTGGATATGGGTTCTTTTGCCATTATTATTATGAGAAACGCGTGTATCCTAGCTCAAAAACCAGTCCATTTTGCATAATTAACTGATTGTTTTATCATATTCTTCGAAATTATTGAAACCTCGATCTTAAATAGAACAAAACAGCTTTCCGGCTGGCAATTAGCAGGACTTTAGAGAATAGAGCACCTGGCACAGAAAGTTATCTGTTGCTAGATTCCTACAGGAAATAGGAAATTAAAACTGCTTCTTGTTGATACTTTCTGCTTTCTTACTCGTTTATATATAAACATTTTCCTGACAAGGTTCACCTGGATAGTTGGAAAGAAACAGAAAAAGAAAGAAACCAAAGATTGAAATTGTGCTTACCCTAAATAAAAGTAACATAATATAATATTTCCACAACTTAATTAGGTGAAGAAATAATACACAGTTACTGAAAGAATGGAAAGAAACCTTTAGCAGTGGCAAAAAATAGACTGCAAAACAGCTCGTATTTTTGCTTCGGTTAAGAACGGGTGCACGGGCAGGCAAAAAATGTCTGGAGTGAAGGTGAAAACGGACAGTGACACTGGGAGAGACCGAAAACTGTTACTTAGATGATGACCGTATTATATGACTACTTTCTTTTACTAAGAACCGTGCAGCCACATAATCGTGTAAACATCCTTCTCTCTTTCAGTGCTTGGAACAGTAGGTCAAAGAGAATCTACAGAAAACCGTTTGATTCGTCAATTGCCTGCGGCAAGGCAAAGGAAATAGTGTTTCATACCTGCTTAATTACAGAAGGAAGCGTTTTGAGCGTTTTCCGTGATTTGAAGGAAGAAACTGTCCACTTGACTATCAATGGATTTGAACAAAAGGTGTCAATTGGCGGTTGTTGGCCTAATTTTTGCTACGGATACCTTCGCCTGAGTGCAAATGGAAAAGGTAGCAAAATTCGAGTAACGCTAGTTCCAGGCGAGTAATTTAGCCAGTAATTTAGGCTTAAAGCATCCATTTGAACTAACGAAACTTCCAAGGACTGAACTTTGTGCAGATCATAATGTTAGAAGAAACGGCCCGATTTCAACGTTGCAACTTTAGAAAATCGAGCCTTGACTTCGCCAATCATCAAAAATTCCAGCCGCCATTTGTTTTTATATCGTAGACTTAGATATGGCGCTAGCCACAAACGTTTCTTCTTCTTCTTCACAAGTTCTAGGACATCTAAATCTGCATTGTGCCATCTGCATTGCGAAGCAACGTGTATGCTCAGAAGTCACAAACCGCTAAGTAAGAACGTGGCATTGAATGCATATGAAATAATATCACGCACTAGCAAGTAGCTGACAGGTTCGCATTCTCAAATAAAATGTGTTCAGTGAATTCAGAAAACTTATTAAAATGATAATTTCTACTTATTTTCTTTGTTGGAGAAGTAATTTCAAAAACTCGTGCTCCGGTTTCATCAGGTTTCCAAACGCGAGAAAATACTTGAAACCACTAGGCCGCATGATACCCTCACACTCGTTTTTTTGAATGGTACGTCAGATTCTGAAAATTTCATGTGTAAGATTTCATTTTGTGAAATTTGACATTAATTTTCTCGGGCTCCCATAAGGAATTTTCTTTGTTGTCATTACAGATAACTAATTACACCTACAGCCATTGAAAAATATGAAAAAAGAATGCATCATGCTCTAAATAATTCTAATACAAGGTTTTCGTCCACTGAAAATTAAAATTACTCAATTTCCTGATGGATTCTGTCTCAATATTTTTGCAACAAGGGCAGTGTTATATACTTAAGTAATTCACAAAGTAAACCTCTTTGGTTTGCAGCTTACTTTAAACAACTTCTATCAGCCAAAGCTGCACGTGGCTGTCTGCGTTTTTTCATAGGCTTAGGACGAGTCCTCCTGGAAGGTGAGTAACTCTGAGAATGTGCTATTCACTCATGGATAGATGCTGGATACCTCTAACAAACTTTTGTAAACCAGTGACTGTGAGTTTCTCGAGTATTACTCGTTAAAGCGGCATAAGCCCAAATTCCTATTGCTAAGCTATATCTTTAACATATTATGAACGCTTTCACTGGATATTTACAAATATGTCACTAAATAGGCCACTTGCACTATGAGGACACGTGACCAATGCTTCCTTAAAACAATGAATTGGAATCCTGTTGATGACAAAAATTGACAGAGAGCATAAAAATTATCTTAAACCCGAAATTTGAGAGGAAACGCATATTTAAGGGAGATATTTTATGGCACTTTGATTTTTTACCAAAGTAGTATGATTTGTATTGGCCGCCATGTTGGAGGGCATACTCTTGCTCTCCAACATGGCGGCCAAAACTGCTTTTTGCTTGAATCTTGCTAAACGTTTGATAGTTACGCTCATATGTGCTGTAAACGTTACCACATCATCTTTTCAACGATTTCCTTGAAGTTTAAGTGCAAAATTTTTGTTCAGAAAGAGGTAATTCGTAGTTTTAAAAATCACATTTTGGTTATGTGACCAGCAACGAACTTACTCATGTTAAGAAAATGGTGCGAGTTTGAAAAACTAAATCACTATTATTTTGTTCAAGATGAGAGCCACTAAGCGTTTTTTGAAGGCAAAATCATATAACTTTTATTTTCAAAAAATGACGTCACAAGACCTTTTAGTGCAAATAGGCTATTGCCACAAGGATCTTTTAAACCAATATTGTTACGCCATTTAAGAGCACATCCGTGCAAATATCAGCAATAGTGCGACAAGGGTCATAAAATCAATTAAGAACTTCACATAGTTCTTTCCTCGAATGGTCTCTTTTTTCTGTGAAAACGACGATGAAAACGCTTTTACGCCCCAGCGCCGATTTTGCAAGTCCAAAACAATGTTGCAGCAGGGTCAAGTTTACACGACTCGCTGATCGAAACAACCGCGCCAGAAAAAAACGATTTTCGCTCGAATGTATCGTATAACTTGTCATAAACTAAACCCTGTAATTTCATGAGATTAATGCAACCGAAGTATTTCCAAAAGTGGAAAAAAGGTGGAGCTCTCTGTTTTTACCCTTACGCCGTGGTCAAAAAGCAGCACAGATTTTCATCATGTGCCTTTGATCAGCATTTGTAAGATTGAGTAAGAAAATACCACGTTTATGATTTACGTTCTTTACAATCACTGAACGCGTGACAAAATTCCTATTTAACAGTTTTAGGATTTGGTGCCCCTGTGAATGGAAATCAAGTTCAAGAAGAAGTTGCTGGTTTGTATTTTTCCTAAATAAAAGCATCTACATGAACCGACCAGGAGGTCAGTTTCGACCGTAGTCAAGACTAAATGCAGACTTCCGTCCCATACGGACGGACCTAGGCCAGTTAATAACTTTTTTTTTCTTAGTTGAATGAAAGGGTCTATTTTCAAATAAATAAATACGCTTTAAGGCTTGAAAAGCAAACTCATTCTCTCATTTGACCGTCCATGGTTACTTTTATTTATACTTCTCCATGTTTGTTTCTTGTATTGCTTTCTCGGCCGAGTTGCCTGTTTCTCGCTTGCTTAATGCAAAGCATACCGCTCACTGATTATAGTATTTTATATTTCAGAGGAGCCTGAAACTAAAACTGGGCCTGACGCTGAACGTAAACAAGGTTCAGAACCTGAAGGGGAAGCGTCTGATCCGGAACTCGAATCAGAGTCTGAAGGAGAAGATTCTCATCCTGAGCCAGAGCTTAACTCTGAAAATGAATCAAATTCTGAACTTGAAAGCGAGTCAGAGCTTGGGGATTCAGAGCCTGGAACTGACTTAAAACTTGAAGCCGGGTATGAACCTCAACACGAGAAGCCTAAACTTGAAGCAGGGTGTCAACCTCAGCAAGAATCCCAATCTGAGCTCAGTCACTATGCGATGGATAAACGTCCACGTGGAATTTGCCTCCTCATAAACAATGCAACAAATTTGCCGCACGTAGAAGAACAAGTCCTCGATTTTTTCAGTCTCCTGGCGTTTGAAGTGCAAGTCAGACGAGGTCTTCACAAATATCAAGTTTATAAAGTTGCCCACCAATTTGCCAGAATGAATCACAACCAATTCAACTTGTTTGTGTGCGTTCTCATGTCCGTTTGCGAGCAAGACCAGGAATTCTGTGATGTCGATGGAAAGAAGGTCGCCATTGAAGACTTGATGTCAGAGTACAAACCTTCTGTCCATTCCTCATTGACGAATAAACCTAAACTGTTTTTCGTCATGAAATTCACGACGCAGCGCTCCAAACTGAGGAAAATTCGTTCAATACTGATAGATGGCTCAACAACCAAAGATGAAACACCATATTCTCCCTGTGACGCGTTTGAAGAGACCTGTCCCAAGGAAGCCGATTTCCTCTTATATTCTGTTACCTCTATTGTTGATGAAGAAATGCAGGATCCACAATCATCGTTTATTCAAGTAAGACTTTTTTATAATTTCTTGAATTAATTTACTTTTAGAGCAAAACCTAACGAGAAATCTTAAGTTTGTTTCTTTGGATGCAAGGTACATATTCTGTTATCTTTATCGCAATAGTTTGATTTATCTCAATAGCTATAGTATTAATTGTAATTTTTTATTGTTCTTTTCGTCCATGACTCAGACTGAAACCTTCCTAGGACTTACAACATCTTTCTTAGAATATGAGCCAATCCAAGAAAAGCATATTTTTGCACTGTTTTGTAATGTCTGGTATCTCCATTATGTTCTAAGTATTAATCCTTAAACTTCTCTGTCACCGATCGCATAAGATTGATTATGATTGAGTAAATCTGTTGACATTTTGAAGAATCGATTCAAAACCTACCTTTTAAAAGTGGCTTTCAACTTCTTATTAATTTTCTTTAAATTTTAACCTTTAAACTTTTAATTATTTGCCCTTATTTATACTTATTGATACTTTAATTTTTACTTTCGTATAATTATACTATATTTACCGGTTTTTATTATAAAGCGCCATGATAATGGCGCTTTATAAGTCTTTTAAAACTGTGAAAGGTTTGTCTTATTATCGTTATTGTTATTATTATAACTATAGCAAAGGTGATGTTTTCACATCTGAAGATATCATTGTGTCACCCGAAAGCTCGCTTCGTATTTCATTGGTGTTTATGTAGTGGTCGTTTTCTTCCACGATCAAGGTACCGCAAACGTCTGATTTGCTCAAGTTCTTGAGTACCAGACTGTGAAGCAGCAGGCCCGGGTTCACTTGCAAATGGTTAGACTTTCTTGTCCTCTCAGATAAGGACGAAAAGTGACAACTCGAACTTCGGATCTAGAGTTACGGGTTCAAGCCCGTTGCCGTCGCGTTGTTTTCCTAGACTGTAAACTTTGCTCCACTTTGTCTCTCTTCACTCAGGTGTATAAATGGGTGCCTTGACATATAGCGGTGGGGGTAACCAGCCTGCAATGGACTAGCATCCCATGTAGTGGGAGTAGCAATACTTCTAGTCGCCTATGTTACTACAGTAACCGGTAATTAGGACCGGCCTAATGGTTCACTTGGCTCGAACGCAGACTCCCTTTTTTTATCGCAGTACATACACTTTATCTGACTTTGTGAGACTTAAAAGAATCAGTGAGGACGTAAAAAATCTTTGGCAGTGACCGTCACTGGTAGGGGGCATTTACAACTGAATACTTCGTTCACTGTTTAGTGCATGCGCGAGAAGCAGGCTGGCAAATTCCCCGACCAGTGATTTTAAGTCTTTGATTTTAGTTTATTCCCTGGTCGCCTTTCAGGACCAGCCTAGTCTCAGATTGGTTAAAATTTTGACAGATAAATTCATACGTAAAAACTAATGCAGCATCTAGGAATTTGTTTAACGACCACTAAAGGTTTTGGTAATTTTATTTAAGTTCTTATCTTTTCGTGTTTTTCTCCACTGCTTTCACAAATGAAATGTCATCTTGACTAGTAAATATTTATATCACCCGGGGTCCGGCCCACTGACTTGTAATATTTCAGTTCATTGTTTTGTGGCGATACTTGTAGGAGTTTGAATTGACGAGCGATTGTCAGAGATTTCTGTATCCATCAAGGATGGGTCTGTATAGTCGATTCACCAACTTTTCAGGGGCACCCAACGAGAATATAGTCCAAAACCAAATAAACATAGCATTGTTGAACGTACTTTAGTATTTAAACGGTAGATAAAGGCTTATTTTTATCCCCTAGAAATTTTTCATCTGTTCGGATTTCCTAGCTGAAAGTATAGCGATCCGAAAATTATAGGGATCAAAATTTACCTTTTCGAAAATTTCAGCCAGAAAAAAGGCTCCCGAAAATTCTAGGTGACCTTTTTAGGGTAAAAATTTGTTAAAAATGGGCAATTATACGATTTTTATGATATTCGAAAATCCAAGGAGAGGCAGGCAAGCAAGAAATTTTTCAGAAAATGATCCGAAAATTCTAGATCTCAAAATGTCTTCCCAACAGATAATTTTCCGAAAATTGTCGTTGGGTGCCCCTGACTTTTGTCAGCGCTGGTTAAATTGATATGTTATTTTCCTTCTACTGTAGAATCCCTGCGGCGATTATTTTGTCCAGGTTTTGTTTATGTCACGTATTACCGTAGCGAAACCAAAGACCCACGTCGGATACATAGCCTTGGAAAAACCACTCCTTCACAAAGAAGTCAGCATTTTAAGTCGCAGGAAACCTTGTAAAAGTTGTGAAATGCACGTTGCAAAGCGTATTTGGTTACGCTCGCCAAAATACAAGACACGCCACGCGCGAGGTCGCGAGGAGTCACTCGAGCTGTACTCTATCCTTTGATCTGATTGGCCAACATCGAAACAAAAGGTTTCACGTCACGGAAAACCGCCGCTCGGGTTCGCAGACGTTATTTTTCGGAGGGAGAGAGGCGACGACCGAAAATACGTCTGCGGTTCGCAGGCTAATGGCTGCGTTGTGTAGGGGGGTTTCAGTGATGTTGTTTAGGCATTCTAGATTTTCAAAGTCTACCACTGTGAACGTGATTCAGTTTAAGTTTTTGCTGTAAGTGTGTGACTGTTAGCATGCAATCAAAGAGATTTTCATTCTAGGTCCGTTTGCGGTATCTATTTTTTTTCTTAAATCACCCAACCCCTCCCTCAAAAAGCATGTGGAGGGCCTTAAAGTTAAGTATAGATTTGAGGACTTCTTTCTAATGGCTTGAAGTCTGTTGGTTTAAAACGTATTACTTTTATCATCAGTATACAAACCGAAGCTTCGCTTTTAAGTCTTGGCTAAATCCCCTTTGCGGTTTAATACAAAAACGTACCTTTAGTTATTTCCCTGTAAATAAATATCGTTGTTATTTTTTGTAGTTGTATAGATATTTACATTACATTAACATACTTCTCTTGGTTTTATCTTTCTTTTCCTTAACTTTGCCGTCACGAGAAAAGGTAATTTAGCAATCATGGATCGCCTTTACATTATTTTTGAGGATGGCAATGTCTGGTCTTTTATTTATCCTTTCGAACAGTTTGAATCCTAAAAACCAATAGTAGTTTTATTTTCTTTTGTTTTCATTTAACCTTTCCGGGACATGTTTGTACCACTCTTCACTGCATTCAGGTAATATCTCATACACAATTCCAAGTGACCATTTGTGCCTGTTTAATGTGTCCTCCACAAATTCAAGTGTTCTAGAGGTATAGATAACAATACGCTGTTCTGTTTAAAATGGACTACATGCATTCTTCTAGCTTGTTCCTGTTACATCTTTTTTGCATTCTTGCATGGTGTGTTTTTCCATCGGTGCTACAATAATTAAGACAGAACTTCTTTGAAGCTAACATTTTTGTAAACGTTTTTACTTCTTTTTCATATTTTGCTTTATTCACTCAGTACTTTCTTTGTTTGACAGGTCTTCGCGAATGTTACCAAACAGTATGGGCACCTCAACTATCATTTGCTTGAGCTGTTAGTTAAAGTCAACGAGCAGCTGAAAAACATAGGAGATGGCCGAACAGACGGGCTACTTCCGTTTCGAGTCCCTTACCTCACGCATACGCTCAGACGTAGATTGTATCTAGGTACACCAAATGAATTATTTCTTTTAAATAGCCATAAATTATCCATAATTAAGACAAATGTCTCCAAAGTACGAATTTGTGTTTGAAGGCAAACAATGAAACGAATCCCTCAAGTTTGGCTGGTCCCATTTTGTGAAAAAGTTCGTCATAACAAAATCATTGTTTTCCTAATTAAAGTATACTCTGTGGACGTGACACACCCAACAACTCGTTTCAAGAGCGAATATATCTGGACATTCGCAGGGGGTGCTCTACGAACGTTTGGGTGATGAACCCTCAGGGGCACCCAACGTCAATTTTCGGAAAATATCTGTTCGGAAGACGATTAGAGATCTAGAATTTTCGGAACGTTTGTTGAAAATTTTGAATTTTCGGGAGCCTTTTTTCTGGCTGAAATTTTCGAAAAGGAAAGTTTTGATCTCTATGATTTTCGGGTCACTAGACTTTAAGCTAGGAAATCCGAACAGATGAAAAATTTTTAGGGAACAAAAATATGCCAATATCTACCGTTTAAATACTAAAATACGTTTAACAATGCTATATTTAAGTGGTTTTGATCTATATTCTCGTTGGGTGCCCCTGAACCCTTAGCTTATACCAGACCAAAAAAGTTCCTTGTCAGGGTACAGTAAACGTATCTTTGTTCCTTTCGGTTTCTTCATCGCTTGAACAGTTTGTATACATGAAATAATTCAGTTGAAATCGATTCCAAATTGATTGATTTCAAATATATTACAAATATATTAAAATCCAAAATGGACGCAAACCTTGCACCCTTACAAAACTGAAGTAAGCTAAACTATACCCAAAAGCAGTGTTCATATCTGAAATTGAATATTTCCGTTCTTCAGAGTTTGATCGTCCTCTTTATGCACCTCTCCCTGCTTGCAATACTGAGCCTCAGCATGGGAGCGACGAGATTCACAACGGGCTTAAAGGTTAGTTTTATTTATAAAGTCACTCTTATAATCAGGGACTGCGGAACAAGGTTGAGAGTCGGGGTGTCTAATCCAAACACGTAAGCACGACCATACAAGTAGGTCGGAGGCATTCTTCCCCGAAGAAAAATTGAGATTTTGGTGTTCTGAAATGACTAGAAATGCGTCCAAAACTGTTTTCCGTTAATAATAGTTATGCAAAAGACTTTTACATTCCTGCTATAGCTTGTTAAAGTCAGGAAGCTGTCGCTACTTGAATGAAAGTAGATAAAAGTAATCCATTCTCAAAATATTTAGGATGGAATAACCCACGTCTATGGTTATAAAATAGTTTAGACCCCACTGACGAGTTACGCCTCGTTGTTACACCTCGCGGCTTACCCTAAATGGCTCACACCTACGACCTAGCGTTGTTCAATTGCAGTTTTCTGAACATTTCATAACGTTATCTTCGTGCCTAACAAAAATAGCCATACCAAGAAAACCTATGAAAAAGATAAGAATAAACTAGTTTTTGTAAGTGAAGAACCAATTAAGCCAGATGAAATATGTTATTTTTCTTACCTTTCTTACCCTCTCAAAAGGAGTGGGGGTGGAAGGGGCTAAAGCTTCACGCAAACCCCAAGCCCCACCCCTCCACGGTCCCTGAAAAATTAATTACATATTGATCATGTCTTCACTCATTCCTGAAGGATGGAATGAAAGAAGTACTTTATGTATTATTAAGTATCAAATGTATTTAGCTTCAAATAAAAGGTAACGAATCGGGGACACTTTAAATAAGTAACTAAAGAAACAAGTACATCGTGATTAAAATAGGTTGTTTCTCATCATTATATGTGTTGCACTGGTAAATGAACGATACGGGTCATCGAAACAAACTGATAAACATTAGGGCCGTATTTATACATGGAAAAATAGGACGCGTCCTAAATGAGACGCAAACTTCCAGTATAAACAGCACATTTCATCTGAAATAAGGTGCGTCTTATCTGAGAACAGGTGTTAAGGGCTGTTCTTAGGTAAGACTCGTCTTAGCTAGAGCTAATAAGACGAGAGAAACTCCGTGTAAATGACTTTCGCATCTAGACGCGAACGAAAAGTACGCATGAGTTGTTTTAAGATTGAGTGGGAGAATTTTCGCTTGCCTCGCCGAGGACTGGCAAGGAAAAAACTTGTTTACATTTTATAACAACGCTTTTTCGTTTCCCCGAGTTGGTTCCTGCGACTTTTTATTTCTTCCTTTGCTCTTATATTATTATGACCACGTCAACAAATTAATTGAAAGGGAAAAAGAATACAGTTTTTCAAGTGCAGAAGAATAAATGGTCTTATGATAACGCCCTGATATGATAATTTTATTTGCAAATCTGATGCGCATATGAAAGGAATTATGACATTCGAAAAACTAATAAAATAGAAAGATCCATGCAATGTTGAGAGTGTTCGTCAAGAAAACTTCTTCCTCTCTCTAAATTTGAAAGATAATACATAGATTTAACCAAGGCCAAAAGCACAGCCCTAGAGGGATCTTTTAAGAAATGTTTTTTTCGAGTAATTCAACTTTTGCAGTTAGCAGAAAGCAAAGTATTCCACCTTTTAAAATTGGGCCTGAGCCCGCGATCAATTGAAAACCAAAAACTAGTCAGCCGATAACTTTTAAAAAAGTCACCTGAATGAGTTGTATACCTGAGCCCGCAATACAGTCATGTGTCACTGTTCAGTGGATACCCTTTTGACAGCTGTCAATTGACTATAACATGGAAGTCCAATACCAAGTTAAACACAGATATATATATCCCTTGGACTCCTAGTAAGTGTACCATTTCACATCCGCTAACATGAAGCGGTCACCGTACATACGTACGGACGATTTTGTGAGAGCCAAAATTTCTTGGATGCATAGATAACCAAATTTTCTTACCCCTGGTGCTCCGCAGCGCTCGCTTTGCGTTTCGCGCGCGAAAGCTCCGCTAATACGTGACTCTTTTTTTGTCCATAAAGTAGCCTTTGTTAAGTCACTCCCGAGGGTTTGATTACCCCAATAAGAAAATCTGTACAATAAAGTTCGTGCTAGCTGTCTTTACTTTTGTGGAAGTCGTACGTAAAAATTAATGGCTAAAATCTCTCATTTTTTTTTCTTAAAATGCAGTTGAACATAGCAAGTATAATATGTCCAGGAGCCCGCGTGGAATCTGCCTCATACTGAACAACATCGAATTCCTTGGCGAAGGGAAACGCTGGGGTGCCGAATTCGACGAAGAAGAGCTGAGAACACTGTTCACTGAGCTTTCTTTCGACGTACAAGTTGCAAGAGACCTCCGTTATGATCAGATGAGAAACTTAACAGCTCAGGTCGCAAAGAGAAATCACAAGAACCACGACGCGTTTGTGTTGATCGTCATGTCTCATGGTGGAGACAATGATGTTATCTATGGCGTGGACAACAGGGCCGTAAGGGTCGAAGATTTAATCTCAGAGCTCACACAGAGCAACTGCCCAGATCTTCGTGACAAACCAAAGATGGTTTTCATTCAGACCTGTAGAGGTTCTTTAAGAGAAAGAATCTCGCCCAACAGTGCTAGTGCTGACAGTGCTGATTCGTTTTCAACAGTGGACTCCACCCTTTCGAGAGGTGTGTTTCCAAAAGAGTTCCACTGGCTGTTGGCCTTTGCAACCACGCCTGGCTACGTTGCGTCGCGAGATCCAAGTTCTGGTTCCTGGTTCATTCAGGTTAGTATGACATCAATTTCAGACTGCCTAAAATCTTATCCGTTAATTTTTCCTCAGAAATGGCTTCCGTCGCACTAGGGGACTCAACCGAGATGTTTCCAGTTAACCAATTATTATGAACCGGTTTTAGAAAAATCGAATGCAGCCGTGTAATTTGGGTCTTAACTGAGTCTAATTTTTACCGCTCAGTTACTACGCAATCCGGACTCCAGCCGGTCCGCCGAAACTTACTGTTACATTTCCGGTCGAAACGTAAATGGAACGCTTCAGTCTGGTTGGAAACTTTGTTTCAATCGAACAATATCGTCCCAGTTTCTCTGGGTAAGTTCAACTGATTTCTGACCAGTCAGTTTGGCAAAATGGAGGTCACCCTTTAATTGTTTGCGTCGGAAAACTCTTTTAACTAGGTTATGGTTTAATGCGTTTGAAGAATATTAGGCCTGGTTATTCAAAAAAAGAACCCGGCCGCAGCCGTGATTGTATATGGTTCATTTTAGGGTACAGATACCTATTATAACCCTACACTTGTTCTAAAGATGATTTAAAAAATAAACTGATAAAGGTCGATAACTCACTAACGTAAATTAAACTTTTTCTCTAAAGTAAGTGAACCTAAATGTGGTTTTCTGTTTAACCGTTATATTAGCAAGCAAAATTTGTTAACTTCTCATCGCTTTTCGGTTTTAAATGGATATTTCCTTTATATTTTAGATCTCAACGTACTCGGTGAGCAGTGCCCATGAAGAGCCCGTGACTGTAAATATCGAGGGCTAGAATCGCTAGACAGGCTCAAGAAAAATCGAAAATTCTGATAATTTGCTAGAAAAACCCGTTTGGGGAACTATCCTCGGAAAAAACATATTTTTAACTTTCAATAATCTATAGTTTTAGAGAAAACGAGGAAAAACGAAAATATTACCTAATTAATTAAGGCACAAATTAGAGTAAAAATAACCTACTTTATCGCGTCTGTACCAAGGCAAGATACAAAGCTAGAAAACAGAAATGTTTTCGTTTAAAAGTATTCTATCTTTACTTTCTATCCATTGTATGCTTTAAACCATAAATTTGATTTTGAATTTTTTACGTTTTTTTTAAAAACTACCATCAAACGCACTTTTTAAAATGGGTGAAAACAACCTTAGAGGCAAAAAAATCATCTTGGTACTGTGTGATACCTTGCCTAAATGTATACTAGGACCTACTAGGACAAAGTTCAGCTCTTAATTAACAGAATATGAAATAAAAAGTTTGGGTACTCCCGATTCGCCTTTACAAAATAAAAAGTTTCCTGATCAGCAGTGGCCAAATGTCGCAAATTTGCAAAACTCAAATTTGGAGAGAAATGTTGCGCCGGCCCGGCGGTTTGTTTTAATTTAGGGTCAGTATCTAATGTTCGGAACAGGGTTCGGAAACATCACGAAGCAAGAAAACGTTTTTTGATTAAGTTTATGTTAAAAGATCAGAGCAATTAACCGTTCAACAAACAAGAGAAATTTAAGAAAGCGACCTCGAGGAAACGACATGTCTCGTTCCTTTTTCTAACTTCCTTGTATTTGCATCCATCCCGTATCATTGTGAATTCGCCTCTGGTATATCTAGAATAGGAAGAGGCATTTTCCTTGAAATTTTATTTTGAAGTAGGTTTTTTGCGAAAGGGATACACTTCCAGCTGCACTTCGTGAGAGGAAGTCATAAACTACTAACAGTGACCAGGACACGCAACGTTTCGAGCAGCTCACAAATTCACTCATTTTTCTTCCTTATGAAATTTTATGGAAACGTTTTTCTTTGAACAGGCAATGCGTTGTTCGCACATCATTTGCTTCTCGGTTTATTTTCTTTTCAGAAAGAGGGGAAACTAACTTTGTATGAGAGACGCCAGAGTCCGAGCCCGGGGGGCGGGGGTACTCCCTTATATAAGGATTTTTGCGCCCTTTTCGTGACTACCAGTGGCCAACTGTCGCAAATTTGTAGAGAAATTTTGTCACCTGACTTCTCTTTGTAGTTTCGGTACGTGGTGTATTCGAAACATAGGAGAAGGATGAAAGCGCCTTTTAATAAAAAACTAAGTAAAGGATCTGAAAAATTTATTTCCCTGATTACAAATAGCTGTGAAGGTTGGTGACACAATGTGGCAAATTTGCATATGCATATTACTATCCTACATAAGAACGGGGTTTTAATAGTGTCAGCATCACGCAATATTTGAGGCTTAAAAAAAACGCATAACCAAGAGAACGGCTAATATTAAATGTTTTGTCGTATGTTATTTTTCAGGTCCCAGTTGTTCAAAACCTGGATAGCGCTATCCACCCGATAAATCTCTATCCAGTGGATTGCGCAATTGGTTTCCCTAATACTTATCCACTGGATAGTAATTTATCCAGTGGATAGGGCTATCCAGCTTTTAAACAACTGGGGCCAGGCCAATAATTGCGTTCGAGGTACGAGAACGCGACCCCTAATTTGTGTTGGGTGTTCTGTGCATTATTGGGTGTCCTATGCAATTAATAAGGGAGGTTTTTGCGAGATTGCATTCGTCGTCGTCGTCGTCGACACACAAGGGAACTTAAGAACCACGACGACGACTTTGTCGACAACGACCAGAAGTGAGTTACAGTGTACTGAGCAAGCGCGACAAGTAAATTTCGTCGTGCTGGTGTCGTCGACGACGCCAACCAAAGTAGAATCACGTCGTCCAGCAATCCACAAGCTTCGGCAGGTATAAATCTACTGTTTTAAGCGATTTTTGAAGTCCTTTGCATTTCCTTATCCTCGTAAATCCAGGCATCGTTCTTTTTTTCTCCTAACAAGCGATGTTGATTGAAAATTCGACTAATAAATTGTTTTTACAGCTGTGGAGACCGAGCGAGCGATCTCGTAAGTGATAAATATATTTGTACGTATTTAGGTAAGGCAAATCATATATCTTTACTATAGAGGAAATAAACTTTATATGGAAAACAGCTATCACATCTGAATGTCTCTTTTTCCAAATCTAAACTCTGACAGACACTCGGACTCGGTTATCTCATTCAGGTTGGAAGTTGAATAATCCTCTTACGGAAAGCAGGTGTTTTTCCACTCAAAAAGGTCAGACAACACAAAAAATTCTTCATCGTCAATGAAATTAGACGTACGGCTTAAAAAATAAGATCTTGCATTATTTTAAAAGACGGCATTGCAAAAAACTTTGTTGCGAGCGAACATCACAGTTTTACATTTGCGTTTACATTCAGCGTCGTCGTCGTCGACCTACCGACTGACTGCATCTTAAGTTTCCTTTTTCCCGCCGAAACTTACGTTCTCGTTCCAGTCTTTTCCCAATCAACAGACTTCGTCGTCGTGAACTTCGTCATGGTTCCTAAGTTCCCTACATTTGCCTCGCTTTGAGGCGCTTGCTTCCGTTTTGCCTCACTTTGTCGCGCTAACTCACCCTGTGATTTGTGTGTTGTCGGCGTTCATCTTTCAAACGTTTGCTGTGGTCTGCTATTCTGTCTTCGTAAATCGTTTAGGTAGTGTGCTGAATTTTCGTAAAGCGTACATATTTAAGAGTTTGCTGAAGGTCTACTATCCATTTGTGTTTATGAATCTTCCAAAGCATTCATCTTTCAAAAGTGTGCTGAAAGTTTACACCCTGAGTAAAATTTTACTTTGGATTAAGCTTTCATATTTGTCTTTGGAAATGCGTGGTACTCCTGGTGCATGCATCAAACCGGGTTGTTTAGCTCGGCGTCCGTTGTGCCACAAAGTAAATTTACCGGCGCGTTGTGAAGCTCAGCGTCAGTTGTGCCACAAAGCAAATCTGTGCCACAGAGTAAATCTACCGAGTTGTGTAGCTCGGCGGCCGTTATTCCACGAAGTAAATCTACCGAGATGTGAAGCTCGGCGGCAACATGACGTGTGATATTTTCGGCACTGGACAAACGAACATTTTAGCTAGGCAGGTGTAAAAGTCGGACCGGATCAACTCGGACCGCCAGTCCGGGTCGGATCAACTCGGATCGACTCGGGCCGAATAAAAAAATAAAAATAAAATAAAACTGGACTCGGATCAACTCGGATCATAAAAAAATCAACTCGGATCATAAAAATAAAAATAAAATCAGTCGGCGTCACTTACCTTTTACCCGTCATTTTGTCTTTTTTCTCACGAACTGGTGGTTGCGTAAATTATTATTATTTATTTATTTTTATTAATTTTAATGATACACTAGTGAGCAGCACACATACACTTCCAGTGAACATTTTCATCTTGGAAGGAGGAGAAACCATGCTCGCCCGGGACAAAGGAAATTTTCATGCCCCGGGCGAGAATCGAACTAGCGGTCCGGCTTCATTTTGCCAACAAGTTGATGATTGGACGCTCTTAAAAATAACTGAGAAAATTATCCAAAGAAATGTTTTTTTCACAAAAGAGAAAGAAACTCGGGTTAAACGCTGATCGGCTTTCAAACAACTGCGCCCAGTAGAACATCTATTGCGCCAGTAAAGCAAAAAGTTCTTTTTACACGCCCGAAGCACTCTGGCCTTTGTCTCCTCAAATAACACGCACTTGAGACTAACCATACGATATCACGCTGACCATTAGCCTTCAAAACCTTTTCATTATGATACACAGTTTAAATCGAGGTTTCGCTGTACGCAACCCTTACGTTCAAAATATGCCATAATCATAGTTATCTATCGCAAGAACCATCCACCCTTCCCCCTCAACTGCTACCTCTACGCCTAGCAAACATATCGAAAGCACTCTTCTAAGCTCCGATTACTCCTAGTTGTACATTTTAAATTTAAAGTTGTTCAGAAATTGTTGGAGAATGCATTCTCCAACAATTCTCCCATATGTGGCAGTACCCTACCCCCACGGGGCAGTTATGCAGGCTACTAACTGGTTGAAAACCGGTCTAAAAGGGTGGATTTGGTCAAAAACGCAGGTTTTTTTTGCTACTAAAATTGGCCGTCAAAAAAGAGTTAATGGGGCTATGCCAAGCTATTTGCTACATCTTTTTAAAACGCTAATATGGTCTTCGCATCAATTAAGTTCTAGCTCTAGACTGCTTGCAGTCCCTCTTTTCTTTAAAAATCCGTTAATTTCTTATCTTAGCTAGCGCGATTACAAACCACTTGAAACGGAACCGCCATTATACTTCGGCGCCAGGTCATCCGAATTACTGGAATTATGCGAATGACTAGCCGTTTGCAAGGCAAAGACAGAACCTTCTTCCTTGGTTCCCGAGGCTCTTTAGGTCATTTTCAGTTTGGCCAGTGCATCATTCAAGCCGGTCTGTTGCAATGTCTTTTTTTTTCCTTTTTGCTAAGCACGAACTGTGCTATGCATCAGCATACTCGGTATATTGCAGACTAACGCAGTAGTGCTATCCTTATCTAAGTCTAGTTCCTATCATCGTTAAGTTCGAAAGCCCATTTTAAGGATTCCTTTACAGCAAAAAAAGGGCTATTCAGAGTAAGCAAGCCTGCCTGTACGTTCTCAGAATTTTTGTCGTTCTAAGAAAAGAAGATTCAATAATTAAGCTCTGGCGAAGGATGTTACTAAAACGGAGAACGGGGAACAAGCACAGGGAACGGGAAATTAGACAAAGCAGAAATGAAGTTACTAATAGGGCTTGGGTTCAAGTTAGGGTTTGTTCCCATTTTTCATTTTCCTGTTCGCCGTGCTTGTTCCCCGCTCCCCGTTCTCCGTTTCCAGTTCCTCGTTTTAGTAACATCTCCTGGTGAGCCTGAACCCGCAATTTATGATTGTCATGATAGTCTTTTTATCTGGCCTGGGATCTAACTCGCGGCTCCTGCAGAATAGTGCTCTACAAACTGAGACCCAGTTCGCACGTATCCGGCGTTTCTGCATTTGTTTGAAAAAGGAAATTTTTTTCTCAAAATCTGCCTTCCGCCCACACGTATCCGATGGAAATAAACACCGAAAGCACAACTTTTCATCAACGCTCTCCAAAGTGCAAATTAATTACTGCTGTTTATACCGTCCTAACGTGGAAGAGGTAAAAACGGAAATTTTGGAAAACGGTGAAGTAATAAGTACTTTATCTCGCACTGGATAACAGTATTCTACTGCCACTTGGCCATGTTTTTAGGACTAGTAGCTCATCTTATGTCTCTTTTTTTCATTTATTTCATAAAGGTTTAAATGCTAAACCTTATTATGTCAGAAGAGGTGACTTAACATAAACAGAAAGTTAGAGCACTGTTTTTCCAAGTCTTGTCCATTATCCATTTTTCATCCACAGGTCCTAGTAAAGACAATCAGAAAACTGCACAATCGCGTGCACCTTGTCGACATTTTGACAGAGGTTACCAATCTTGTGGTAAAAAGGAAAGGCGAGATAATTCAAGTCCCAGCCCCAACTCACACACTGACGGCCGAACTGTATCTGTAAAGTCCAAGAAAAGATACTGATGTCAGCGATGTACTGGCAACCAAATATGTGTAAAATCTAATTTGAATAAGATGAAAAAGTGATAAGGTAGAGTGAACGCTCTCTAAGACTAAGACTGATGTCCTTGGCTGTCCGTCTCAGAGAGGTGTCCGCCTTATAGAGAGTCAAGTTTCTGTAAAATTATTCAAAAGCAGCAGGGATGGAACCAACACCAGGTGTCCGTCTAATAGGCCGAATATACAGAGGTGTCAGTTAACTCTTTCATGCGCTCCCAGGTTTAATGATAGAGTCTTGTACGAAGATTCTGACTTTTGAGGCTGTGGATGAAATTATTTCACATGACCATTCAAATCAGTACTTTTACATATTGTACTATTTGCCTTGCAGCATTTTACAGATTGAAATTTTTTAAGTTTTTGTAGAAATTTGACATTGGCTATTTCTGGGGCTGAAAGAGTTAATTTTAAGTTAGTTTTAATTACTTGTTTTAGTGAGCCATAGCGTGCGCTTTCGTACACAGCATAGAATGTTGAACAAAATCAACGTAATATGTTAATGTATAAACTGTATATACGAGAAACGGATTATTAGATTAGGTGTACAAAATGAGCCTTTTCTTGATTATTGCATTAGGTAATCAATTATGATAAAGCATTCAGTAAATCTTCTCATGAATAATGATGTATCTTTAACGAAGTGGAAAATTTTAGGCTATAGGCGAATTCTTGTTTAAATTTTTTGCCTCATTAACATATGCTTATCATTCTCTGCTGAAGCTATTCATATAAAACCTTTAATATTGGAAGAGCTTAACAATTTCAGTTATCTCCGATAATTTGAGCCCGATATACCCAATCAGAGTTTCGGAGAAATTGTCTTCGAAAAACTTGAAAGTTTACAAAGTATGTATGAGCTCCACGTTTAACGTTTTTTCCACCCAGCAATTTTGCAGTGTTTGATAGCTGTTTCTTCCTTTTTTATAGATTGCAAAACGCTGAAAATTTCACCATGAATTTCTCAAATTAACCAGCTCTTTAATTATTTGAACCTAATTTGTAAATACGGCGACTGTTTCTATGGGTTAACTCGTATGCTAATGAGCAAAAATGTAAACAATGACGTCAGCAGGGATTCGCTGACAGAAACCTTACAAAGTGATTTTTGAAGAGTGTCTACTCCTAATTTGTTATTTAAAAGAGGTGATTTTATAACCCGAGTTTCACCATTGACCTTTTTCTCTTTTTAAGAGTCTTCACTTGAGGCCTGTACCCATTAGACTACTAGCAGTATCTCTTGTTTTTGGTCCGTCGAGCAAAACGCCCAAGACACGTGAATGACCACGCGCGTGACTGAAGGCGCGAGACGGGAGAGGCACGACAAAAGAGAGACTGCTCGTAGTCTAATGGGTACAGGCCTCAAGTGAAGACTCTTTTTTTCCTTCTTGGGCTGCCGCCCAAGTTTCTCGCGTCTCGCGGCTTTGCCGCTCTACTCTCTCGCGTACGTGCACTCCCCTTACTAAATCTAAAGAAAAAGAGAGACTACTCGCAGTCTATGTACCCATTGCCTCGGTATATTACTGTATATGTATATCTCAAGAGTTTTTTGTACTTGTTTTGTGCAATGTTAACTCAAGTTGTTTTGTATTTGAAATTTGCTAACCATTCCTTTACAGTTAGTAAAAACACGTGTTTGTTATATGAATCGAGAAGACTTACAGAGACAAGATAATTTTTCGAAATGAAAAACGTGTAATTTCAAATAAATGAAAATCAACTCTTGCTGTACAGTTGTATTAGTTGGCACTCAGTCTCCAAGTTAATCGGAATTAAGGGACTGGTCATAAAGTGCGCGTGGCACCATAACAGTCAAGAGAGACAACGGCGAAGCCAATGAAAGCATCGCTGAAAAATACACTTCACGTCCTATATACCAACTCACCCAGTTACTTGAAAGTAGGGTAGCTGAGTTGGAACTGAATAGAGGGGGCCGTGTCCGGGTTCAGAGAGAGATAGTAAAATTTATCGCCTTGCCGTTCCCGTTCTCAGGTTAACTCAAAATTTGGTCATTTCACGTCGTAGTTGTGCAGGGGAGGCAAAGAAATATACAATTGAAAAAAGCGTAATGTACCTGCAGAGTTGTTGTTTTGCTCATAAACCTAATGTGTTTTCAACGTTCCCGTTGCCGTCCTCGTCGTAGTCTCGTAAGATCCTCGTGGACCAAAACACTGGGTACAACTGTCCGTAAACTTTACAAACAGTGCCTTTAACAGTGTTCTTTAACGTCCCACAGAATTTATATGGCAAAGGTTGTGAGACGGGGCCAACAATTTATTGTCCTTTTCCGTGAAGACTAGAAAGTATGCCCGTTTATGGATTTCTTAAAGGCAGAACTTTCTCTGCAGTTATTTAAAGACCCTGAGTGTGTCCGGACGGAGTTAGAACCCAGGCAGCGGCCTCTTACTCGGCAGATCGGCGCTTATCTAATTGAGCTAATCCAGCGGAGGTCTTTAGAGACAATTTATCTATTTATAGAACATTTATATACTGTTAGTCCCATGCAACTTTACACAAAAATACTGATTGATATCAGGACCTCTAGCTAATGAGCGACAATTTGCATCTTTCTTGTCGTGTAGTATAAAACAATTACCAAAGACACTAACCTTTTTTAAGGTCTTCTCTTTCCTTTCTTTTTTTTCCTTTTGGATTGTTTGCGCGAATAATTATTTCAAAATTTTTCTATTGATGATAATTTAAACACTAGTAAATTTTCAGCTCTGACTCAGATACAATGAAACCGGCAGATGCACTTACATGCAACATGCACTCCCTGTGCTTTGCTGGGCGTGCACAGCTGGCTCGGAAACTATAAGAACGATACTGTCGTGAGATTAATCGAAAGTATACTTTAATAGTTGTTCCTGTATACCTAATTTTTCATTTTTCGGCCTTGTGGTCTATTCTATACAGACTATACATGCCGCCTACCGGATCAACTGAATTGAACATTTTTTTCAAGCAGAATACAGTGGAATCCCGGTTACTCGAAGTCAAAATGGAAACGAAAAACAGTTCGAGTTAGCGGGGAATCCTAGTTAACGGGGTAAATTTTGATCAAGGGAAAGGAAATTTAGTTCAAGTTAGCGGGGAATTCGACGGTTATCCGAGTTCGAGTTATTCAGGTTCTACTGTGATAACAAAGAGCTTATCAAAATTTATAGTAAGTCGGCTGATCTTGGAAGAGAAGAACGAAGGAGGTGACTGATTTTTTGTCCCTTTCAAATCGCTGTGTATTTTACTCTTTTTGTCATTGGCTTTCAAGAAAGTTTTTACAGGGACATCTCCTGTTTGGTTTTATTGGGAGCATTTATTAGTCGCGTGTTTCAGTTAATCCTTGTTAAGCTAATTAGTTGTTTTCTTTTTTGTTTTTTATAATAATAAGTCAAGGTTCTCCCTTAGGGTTTTTACTGTAGAGCACATTTGTACGCAAAGGTCGGTTTGTTAACTCGCATAATTGTGGTGGCCGAGAACTGCCAATCGAAAAATACGCATTTTGAAGGAATTTTTTTAAATTTTTTTTTTTCATCTGTAATTATTTTCCACTTTCTTTTTAATTTTTATTTCAATTTAAAAGAAAAGTGAAAGTAAAATCAAGTGAAATCAAAATAGAGTGAAATGAAACCAAAGTAAAATGAAATTAAATCAAAATTAAAATCAAATAAAATTTTCGACCCAGCCGAGGGCTGCCACTACCAGCATGCATTGCGTACATCACGTAGATTTTGTGTTGTGTTTACGTCTCTTTCTCTCGAAGAAGCAGTCGAAGATGGTGGATAACAGGTTTTCTTCGTGTAAGGAAGATCACCTTCTTAAAGCAGCGATGTAGATGTTTGTTAAACAAGGTCTTAAACGCGAAGAAGATATCGATTTTTTGCTTTTAAGACCTTGTTTAACGTACATCTACATCGCTGCTTTAAGAAGGTGATCTTCCTTACACGAAGAAAACCTGTTATCCGCCATCTTCGAGCTTCTTCGAGTGAAAGAGTCGTAAACACAACACAAATTTAACGTGATGTACGCAATGCATGCTGGTAGTGGCAGCCCTCGGCTGGATCGAAAATTTTATTTGATTTTAATTTTGATTTTACGTCATTTTAGTTTGGATTCATTTCATTTTATTTTGATTTCGCTTGATTTTACTTTCACTTTTCTTTTGAATTGTAAGTGGAAAACAATTACAGATAAAAATAAAAAATAAAAAAAAAATCCTTCAAAATGCAAATTTTTCGATTGGCAGTTCTCGGCCACCATACATGATTAACTGACTAACGGCGCGTGAAACAAGACAATAAACTCACCAAGCGCTGAGACGGCTTCAATAGATAGTCTTTTCCGCGAGATAGGACGGAGAAAACGGTTTTTTAATAGTCAGTCAATATTGAAATAGAGAGTTTTCAGCTCCACTTTCTGTGTGTGTGTTTTGTTCATATATCCGATTTTTAGCGCTAAATAGAAGATATAAACCGTTTCTCGTGTTGCTTGGTGATCGCACCTCTTATTCCCATTTTTTAATAGACGTTTCACTCATTAGGCACTAGAGTGTAGTCCAGCAGTAATTCCCATTCTTGGGTCGAGGAACAGGCGTCCAAAGGAGCTTGAAGCTCACCAACGTTGGTGAATAAAGTTTATCCTAAAAGAGCCGAACCCACGAATGGCAAGAATAAAATGACGAACGGAGATCGAGCCTCTATTTTGAACACATAATAGATTTTACATGAGCCAATCAGTGGGTATAGAGCGGGCAAGTCTAGGCAAGCCTATTGTTCCTATTGTATAAGACAGGCGCTCATTAGATATCGAGGAAGACACTCATTGGTATGGAGGAAGACATTCGTATATATGGCGGAAGACACTCATTAATATTAAAACAGGGAAGACAGGGGAAGACACTAATCCGGAGTAAATCATCCCTCTACCACTACTTCTGTTTTATCGGAAAGT